ACGCACAAGATGTAAGGAGCTCAAACTGAACCAGAATCAACATGGGGTGGGGGGGGGGGGCAAACGCGACATGCACATGACAGGTTCCGTATACTCCATTCCAAAACACAAATTCAGGTTTCGCTATACCAGAACCGTTTGGTCACCTTCATTGTGGCGTAGCAAAAAAAGGCCGTGTTTCAGATCTCTTCTTTGGAGTTAATATAACTTTTGTACACTATACTGCAATGGCGATCTTATTGTTTGTAGAAGAAATGGCTCCCACGCGACGATTTCATTGTGTCGGAATATTGTCGAACATAATCACACCAGCAACCCTTTGTAGGAACTACGTTTCAACCACTTGTATGCATGAATGTTCTCCTTCGGTATTCAACAAAGTGCCATAAATGAAGGCAAATAAATACCCAAACTTGAAGACAGATAGCTTTGCGGAGGTGTCCAATTCGCGATTGTGTGATAAGGACGATTTATTGAGAACTAAATGCATTGACTTTAACAGTCACTCATGATTAACACTTGTTTGACTCCATTTCGTTTAAATCACGCCTTTAGTCTTCAACTACTAGCTTATAAGGTGATTAGAGTTTTTACAAGTAATTGACCGAATTACTACCCGTTTCTTGACTGTCTGCAACTTAGGGTTTATTCCTTGCTAAAGGGATTTCACGGTTATTTAAAAGGTTGATCCTTCAGCGGATTCGATTCTGACACATTGAGTTAAAAGCCGACCTCTTTCACTCGACTGCTGTGCCACTACGCCCTAATGGAACGTATCCCTAGCTGTGAGTGTTTTACGTTGCTGTTTATTTAGAAAATCAGGCGCGAATTCCACGACTGCTCATGGCCATACAACGAATCCAAGTTTTGGCGACTATGATGATTTATTTGAACCGACAGTGGAGCAGCAACCTTCCGAAGCCAGCGAAGACGGTGATGTTCAGCTGAACGGTAGCGTAATGGCCAGCCCATTAGCAGTGACTACTGGCCGCCATTCTGAGGTACGGGATACATCACAGCTATTGGACGAGAGCATGCGTACTGTGCATGCAAAAAGTCGCTCTTCAAAATCGGCCTCAGAGTCGAAGTACCACCACACAGTTCCTTCTGTTGACAGTGTCAGTAACGGCTACGACGACAACGATTCTGACCATTCGCAGCTTGAACCGTTAGTGATTTGCACTCGTTCGGGTTACTACTGTCAGCCATCAGTCGACGAACTACAAAAACTAGTGGATGACGAAGGCAATTGTTTCGTTGAAGGCTTCAAGATTGGCAGACGTGAATTTGGATCTGTTTTGTGGAAAGACCGCGTAAACGTTGCTAACCTCAACATCGATAACATCGGTAAGTTAGAATTTTTCATTCTGTCTTATTCTCGTTTATTCATGTAACACTTCATCTTTATCTTCCATAACCGCTTTTCATTTCGGGTCACGGGGACAGACTCGTCAAGCAGTGCTTTCAATCTTCCCAGTCTTGTGCCAGAGTCAGAGCTTCGCAGAAAATAACGAGTCTGGAGCAGACTCTTTCCGTATATTCGCACAGAGTTAATCTTGGCCGTTCCTTGCGGTCTACGGGGCAAAAAGTAGTTGTTTCACCTTCCTTTTTAGAGACATTCGCACCATGTCCAAATCATCGTAGCTGTGAGATTTCAGTCTGAAGAAGCTGCGGTTGTATTTGAGGCCGAGGCTCTGTATTTCGAGCATTTATACCGAGACTCTGTATTTCGAGCCATGTCAAGACCATATGACTCGCCTCAGAATGCCCATTTCAGCCACACTTACCTGGGATCGAAGTTTTTCAGTTATGGTCAACCACTCATGACCGTTGTTGAGCATGGGGATGAAGATCGACTTGAATACCAAGAGCTTAACCTTCAGACTGAACTTTGCTTCAGTCACAGTCATTCGGGCTAGTTCACGATTGACATTGGCTACTACAATCCGCCGGTCGATCTCTTCTTCAAATTTTCCATCACCAGTAAACACGATTCCGAGGTACTTGAACTTCACCTGCTCCACTGCCTCTTCATTAATCTGAAGAGACCGGCGGGCAGGAGAACGAGAAAGCTCTAGGCTATTTGTTTTGGATGCGTTCACTCGCATGCCGGCTACATCGCACTGGGCTGCGAACCATTCCGTCGAGTACTCCAGTTCAGTTTCGGAAGATGCTCATAAAACAAGATCGTCTGCAACGAGCAACCTTCTCGTCTCTACATCCCTTACACCGATTCACTCGTCGCCTTTGCTCCGCCTGACTATTCTATTCATGTACAATAAAAACAGGAGAGGAGACAGAACGCAGGCTTAACGGAGACCAGTTCCAACGCTCAAAGTTTTGGCCTTAGCGCTCTTTACTCTGACACAACACTTGCTATTAACATATAGTGATTGGATTTCCCGTAGCAACTAGACCTCGATTTCATATGTTTGCACGCATGCCCGGAGAACGTTGCGCCAGATCAGGTCATGGTCTTTTTCTAGGTCAACAAAGCACATGTACTCCGAGTGGACGAACTCTCACTGTTTCTCAACATTCTGGCATAGAGCAAAATATGGTTATATGTGCTTCCACCAGACCAGAAGCCACACTGCTCTTCTTTTATCTTGGAGTCAGTTATTCCGCGACACTTCAGTTTTGAGCACCTTTTCCGAGAGGTACAATGAGGTAATTCTCCTTTAATTGGAGCAGTCCATGTATTCTCCCTTCTTGAACATGATACAATAACCCTCATTCTCCAGTTCGCTGATATCTTCCCCGTAGCCATTGCAGTGTGACAGACATGTGTAAACCAGCACATGCCTTGTTCGCCTTCTGCCTTGAGCATATCATGGCGGATTTCATCAATCCCATCAACCTTACCACTTCACAGCTTGCGAAATTTTATCTACATAATTAGTAATATCTGTTCCCTCCTGCTCGAAGTGTTCTTGCGGTTGTTCGAGGTTAAGGAGTTCCTCAAGGACGCTAAAGAATGTCCTCACCTTTGGCAAGAGGGTGTCCAGACTCTTAGACTGCCCATCTTTTCACATCAGAGCCTGTGGATGGTCTGTCAGAATACTTTGTTTGCGGTGTGGAAATTCGACTCCAACATCTAGCCGAACTTCTCCCGGGAATCAGCTGTGGCTTTCGTCATTGCTTTTGTTGCCCCTTTGCGTGTTGCGACATATCTCATACTAGTAGAAGGCTCTTTGCTTCCAAGCTATTTGTTGAATGCAACCTTTTTCTCTTTAACTATCAGTTGTACCTCCTGTCCAGCAGGAGGTTCTTTTCTGAGCTCCAGGTGATAGGACAAGCCGTTAGCATCTGCAACATTCAGCGATAGCCTCGATTATGCCGCTGTGTAAGAGCTCCCATTCAGTTTCCACATCAGGGGTCATCACCTGATGACGGGATCTGTTCAAACCATCGTGCGATGTTGTTTGCAAGTTTCGCTCTCGTTTCCGACGAAGGCAGTGTCCCATTTGATTCTCTGGTTGCTTCTGCTATCAGATCTTCGTATGGTACTCCTTTTCTTACAGGACAGCGTGCCAACAACAATGTGGTGATCGATTGATAGCTCTGCGCCTCTCAACATTACTGAGCGTCTTTAGTTAGAAGATACGATTATCACATTGATCCGGTATACTGATGCATGCTTCGATGCTCGAAGGTGTTCATAATGGGCAGTCCATCGCTTGCACAAACCGCAGCAATTTCATGTTTTTGTTGTTGTGGTAGCTATGGTTGTTGCTACCAGTCACCAGTTTCCACTTTTCAGCGTCTGCTCTGACATGTGCATCAAAATCAGCCATGAGAATGAGGGATTCCTTATTCGGCACTTCCTGCATACCACAGTCCACTTCCTTAAGGGAAGAGTCATATTCTCCTTCTAAATTTGGCGCATAGACCTGTAACAAGGTCTCCGCCTTTGCCTGCTGTAGCCTCAGTTGGAGAATGTCATCCTTCTGCTGATAGGCTTTCATTTAGTGTTTCTGTCAGCCAGGTTGAGTTCTACCAGAACACCAGCACCTGCTTAGGCGCGTATCGTAATGTGTACATCTGAGTAGAATAGCTTCCACCCACAGAGGTTCAGGATTCCATAACTTTGGCACTTTGACGAGAGTTCAATTATGTAGAATTGATACCTTTTGGCATCATCAACTAACTCTTGCTCTTTCCCTCTGAGTGAAGATATATTCCAATTTCTGACTGTAAGCTCCTAATGGCAGTGTCGTTCTCTTTGAGACTTTTCTGATGTGCTGTAATGACATCGCGCTGTCTTCCTCCTCCGTTCAGAACGGATAGCGACTCCGTTGCTGACTGATATCTTCGTCGTCCTTCCATCGGTCTTCGTCAGCTATTGTTGTGCTGCGACGCCCCCGGCTGGCAGAAGGCGATGAGCAGGTTCTGATCGCCGATTTTTCGCAGTCTACCTCAGTCCCCGAAGGGCGTGCGCGGCCCTTTGTAAGCCGGGCGACGACCGAGCCGGTATAATTTTAGATTACGTCAGTACCATGAAGGGCAGGTGGCTAAGTTTTACGGATACTTCGTCAAGGTCTTCAACCCTCATCCTTTCTTAACCGTGCTTGGGACTGGCAACGGTGGAGTTGTAACATACTTAAGTATGGAAATGTCATGTTATGGGAAAACTGTGAGCAGTACGCAGTCAGTGACAAAGACATACTCGTTTTTGTAAGGTAGCTGCTTATATTCAAAGTATTCGACATATATGCCCGTTTTTTGAAGCTAGGATTATGAATTCCATAATAGCAGGAACAGTCCGTGGAAGGTAAGGTCTTTTTTGATAAGCCTGGCAGCTTCTACCAAACGATGCTGCATTGCTTCATACTGCCAATTGCTTCCTCCTGTTGTCCCATGAAGAGTCATATATTTATGTCACCATTCAGTGCTATTTTTGTATACATACTCTATGGCCATGCTGTATCGTTTTTTCGGCCACCTGCTCTTTCAGTGCTTTGTTCGTTAGTAACGCTTCTTAGATGACGCATACTTTTTATATGTTGCATAAGTTTTTATATATCGATTTTTTATCTTTTTGCGATATCTATATCTAAAGACTTTGAAATTACTCCCACAGCTTTTTTACGATAGACAGTGATAAAGAAATACTGCCTAGTTTGTGGATATGCAATGCTTGGACTCAATTGACCTGCATGATGCTGGAACTGATGAAGAACTTTTCGTGAATCATGAATTTTGAAGTCCGATGCAGTACTTCACAAAATACCATAATATGTGGTCCCGTACTTTCTTCCCTTGCTTTCTAGTGATATTGTTGTGCACCGTAACATTAGTAATGGAAGTTGTTTGCTATTTTATTCTAAGACTTTTATTTTGGAGCATTGTCTCCATCTGGTCTCCGTGTGCGGTTTTGATCGTTTCGGTCCAGGCATTTATCAATCGATGCTGCTCTGCTTTTCTTCTCAAATTCCGATTAGGTTGTCTTTCTTGCTTGTTGGATCATTACATGAGACTCGTCATATTTGAAAAGGAAACAGTCATTACTCGCTGTAGTGACTACATAATTAAAGACATACCCTTAGAAACTAAATTCTAACCAGTGATATTTAAATTGAGATTGGCCCTGAATCATTAGGTCTTTAGTGAAAGATGGCACAAATCGCGTCAGTCGGGAAGCTTAAGCGAATTCGACGTCCAAACGATGGATTAATAACTATAATTTTTTCTGTTAGAACAAATTTAACATTTCGAAAAGTCCCTTTATTAACTTCGACATAATATATTAGAGCGATGCGGGAATAGACTGCTAACAGCGTTTTAGCTTAAATTTCATGAACGTCATTCATGACTTATAACATGCATGTTTCGTCGTTATTATAAACCTATTATGCCAAAAGTACTTAGTAGATCATGTTTCTGTTGATTTTTTAGCTTGAATACTCGAGAATTACTAGCAAATAACTGAATATTGAGCAAATTCTTACCGTAGCTATGAGACAGAAGCTGCATTTGTTATTCGAGTATTGAAATGCTGGGTCGTGTCAGCGTATTATCGTGTGTCGTTAATGTGTTTCTTCCGTTTTCTACTATGTATCATAACTTTGTCTTTTTAGTTAATTTCGAACACAAGGAAGTAACGGTTTATCCAAACAATAAGGACAAGCCGCCAGTCGGGGAGAGCCTGAACCGTCGAGCCGTGATCACCCTTGAAAGGGTTTGGCCTAGCGATCAAGCAACTCATGAGCCAATCAAAGTAGCACTGATGTTCTTTCATGAATGCAGGTCACGCTGTAAATTTGCTTTCTAGGATATTGGTCGACTAGAACGCATGCACTTCTGGCAGAGGTTGAAAAAAGCATCATTGAAAATGGGCGCGAAATTTCTGGCATATGCGCCAGATACTGGGTCATGGAGTTTTGAGGTTTGAAGTTTGGGCTTCATTTCCTTAGTTTTTTGTTAGTTTTACATGTTCTTTTGAATTCAGGTCGAGCATTTCTCAAAATACAGATTTCC